CGTGTGGGTGTATTCAGAATCTAGAACAAAGACCAATTGGGAAAAGTCACGATTAGGGGTTTCTTCATCTCGTTGACTTGGGAATTTCTGTGGGTGATTCCAGCTTTGGCCTCTGAAATTGGGGATTTAGATATATTTTAAAGTTGTCAGCTTTCTTTAGCAATTTGTTTCTTTGGGACTTGGGGAGAGGAAGATGAGAATTGTTATGGTAATTAGAGATGAGACTTGTCTCTGGTGTGAAGTAGAGTAGTAGATTAGTAGATACTTTGTTTATTGGCGATGGAGAATCATCATCCTTCAACACTCTTGTCCATGGATTCAAGTGCTTCTTCACATGAGGAGCTTGATTTGGAGATGAATAACCGTCAATCTCTGCTCTCTGGTCCTCCTGATATCAATTTACCACTCTCAGCTGAGAGAAGTCCTCCTCCACAGCCTTGGAATCTTGATTCTTGCGACATTTTGGATGTTGGTTTAGGTTCACAAGCGTATGAGACTGAGAATTACATGAGTGTTGTGCCTAAGGTTGGTAGGAAATGCGCGAAACGGGTTGATAGTACTTGGGGTGCTTGGTTTTTCTTTAGTTTCTACTTCAAGCCTGCTTTAAACGAGAAATCCAAAGCGAAAATCGTCCGGGATAGCAACGGGATATCAGGGTTTGATAAGTCGGATTTGAAGCTCGATGTGTTTCTAGTTCAGCACGATATGGAGAACATGTACATGTGGGTTTTCAAGGAAAGGCCTGAGAATTCACTCGGGAAGATGCAGTTGAGGAGTTATATGAATGGGCATTCTAGACAAGGTGATCGTCTGTTTCCATTTAGTGTTGAGAAAGGGTTTGTGAGGTCTCATAGAATGCAGAGGAAGCACTACAGAGGTTTGTCAAATCCGCAGTGTGTTCACGGTATTGAGCTCGTTCCTTCGCCAAACCTCACTTGTCTTGATGAGGAAGATAGGAAAAGGTGGATGGAGCTTACGGGTCGGGATTTGAATTTCACGATTCCACCTGAAGCTAGCGACTTTGGTTCGTGGAGAAATCTTCCCAACACTGACTTTGAGCTCGAGAGGCCTACACCGCCTTTGAAGAATCCTTCTGCGAGCCACTCTAAAAAATTACTTAATGGATCGGGACTCAATCTCTCAACTCAACCATCCAACCATTCCAATGGTGAAGCGACTGATCTATCGCCCTCGAGCCACAAGAGGAGGAAGGACTTGTTCTCAAATGGGATCCATGAGGAAGAGTGTTGCTTAACCGTGAACCCGCCACCTCCTGCTATCGAAGCTCACCAGAACGAGATACCGAATTGGTCAAACGAGTTTAGTGGGGCCATGAAAAACGTGTATGGACCTGTAACTGCTGCAAAAACAATCTATGAGGATGAAGAAGGTTACTTGATCATAATCAGCCTTCCTTTTGTGGATTTGAACAACGTTAAAGTATCGTGGAGGAACACTCTCACACACGGAATAATTAAAGTTTCATGCGTCAGCACATCGCGCGTACCATTCATAAAGAGACATGATAGAACATTCAAGTTGACTGATCCAGCCTCTGAGCACTGCCCACCAGGAGAATTTGTCAGAGAGATCCCGTTATCAACCCGAATCCCGGAAGATGCAAACATCGAAGCGTATTACGATGGACCTGGTTCAGTTCTTGAGATACTTGTCCCGAAACTAAGAGCTGGCCCGGAAGAGCACGAGGTGCGTGTGTGTCTGCGTCCACATCTCGGAGGAAACGATCTTATGTTGACGTAAAAGGATAAACATCTGTTCAGTTTCCTCGTTTGTAGAAAGCTTATAGAAGTCACCTCGTTGATATTAGCCACTCATGTATAGGCGTTTCCACTCTTTTTATGAGATTATTCATCACATTGCAATCTTGTGTGTACTTCATGTTGGAATCAATCAGATTGGGGTTTGTACTTTGTACAGAAGAAAGAAATTTGTTATCATCTCAGATAATACAAATCTGATTATAATTTATGAGCTTTGAGTGTTGAATATTATCTCGTTCAAGCAATACAAATGAATCGTATCACAGAGTACAACTGATGCTACTGATTGAGATCAAGCAAGAGCTGTCGAAGTGCATCCGAAGAGAGAGGTATATTCAAACACTCTTGACCATCTGAGTTTCTCTTGGTCTTAACCAGTTCGTGGTCTTTAAATTCCGTGAGATGAGAGTTCAAAGTCACTTGACTGCTAACAAAGAAGCGTTCCCGAGAGGCTGAATAAAGATCATCGGTGGGCATGCCATCTTCATCCGGGTGAGATAGCTGATACTCTGCAAGAATCTTAAAGACATTCTGAGCGTTTGGTGTTAAACTCTGCAAGACAATGGCCGCTGTTTTGGCGGTTTGGGATGTGCTTCCCTGTGCAAGAACCAATGGGAAGAATACGCCTTCGACCTTATATGGTGCAAATGTTGGAACGTGGTGCCATAGCCAGTTAAACTGTGTGTGCACCATTTTCTTGTCCCACACTGCCAATGGATACAAGAAACATCGCATTAGATCAAAGAAGCGGTACATAAGATCTTAAAAGTCTTTAGCAGATAGCATTGAGCAGAAGGAATTGCAAAAGAACTCAGCCATGATGAGAGAGAGATGGAGAATAATGCTTACATAATGGAGCATTGACATGGTCAATAGAGGCAATGATGCGTATGTGCGAACAGGAAGCAAGCCGGGCAAGAGTTTGCTGCGATTCAGGATCCCTTAGAGCAGGTCCATCAATGTTATGAACAACAACGCATATGACGCAGTCCTTATCTTCAGACTGTGGGCCATGTAAAAAGGACAAAATATCATCAATGGAGCGTGAAGGAAATGCTTCTTGACCTTTAGACGAGCTCCCAGAACTCTTTCTTCTACATTTTAACAGCTCGGACAGAAGTTCAGCTATTGCTAAAAGAACCTGAACTTGCAACAAAGAACAGATGACTTTGTTATTCTTATAACTAATTTATTTTCAACCTGAAGAAAATGAAGCTGTGCCAGAGACAGAGTAGTTGCATCGAAAACTGACAAATGAATACCTGTTTTAGATTTACTGAAGGGAGGTAGCCATTGATGACCACAACAGAATACTCAGTCAAAGAAGCAGAAGCAAAATCTTCAATTAAAGCTTTCTTAGATCCAAAGCCATACATTAGAAGGCCAAAGCCGCACCTGGAAGCAGCAAAATGAAATGATGACTCATGGAATATAGGTGTGTAACTTCTAAACAGAAATACAAGAGAAGGTCCAGGACTTAGGAGCAATCAATGTCTTTCACGATTATGGTAACACCAGAAGTAGAGATAAACCATGGATGATATTCAAGTTCTAACTTGTAAGATCAATGTTTTCTAGGAAAGAGGAAAGCAAGAGCCTTCTCACCTGAGCTCAAAGACCCACTTTGGGTACAACGTCTTGTAATCGTTAAGAAGTTGAGAAACCTCTTTCGCGTGCTTCGTTTCAATATTACATGCTGTTTCTCTAAGCTCCTGAAACACAGAAATGTTTTGTCTATCAAGGAAAGCATTTTGTGAACCAAAAAC